TTGAATTGAATTGAGTTACACAGGTACACCTTACGTCCCTGAAGATTATTATTCACGTCATGCATTATGATGTCATCGTATTTTTCAACAACCACATAGCAACCGGCTAAAAAGACCACTTTTTTTTTTTTTATTATTTATGCATCTGTAAGTCCTTATAAAAGCACCACATGATTTTAATTTCCTGCCACGGTTTCCACATGAAATGAAGCATTCTGAAGTTTAGACACTCAGCTATAATTGGAGGGGTTGAACAAACACATATCATTAACCTTTGAGTAATTACAGCCACAGTGCTCCTTTTTCAGATGGCAGGGAATGAATTAGCATAATCATAAATTAGCTGTTTATTTTTAATACTCTGTTGAGAATTCTTTGCAGGCAGCGACTGAGACGTCACCAGAGAAAGGCTTTCATGTTTTGTGATGCTTTGCCGAGCCTCGGCGGTTTCCCTCTTCAGCTGTTTGTTTTGTTTATGGATCATTCTGCCGTAGTTTCATCATGAGCGAAATGCAGCTCCATTCCAGAGTCACAATATGTTCGGGGTCAATGTCCATCTTTGCTGCGAAGCGCGGTTCAGTCAATTTTCCTGCTGTGTAGCTCATATTTCATTAGTGTGCAGCCTGTCAGTCACGTCTAGCTTGCATTGAGGAGAACAGTCTGAGCTATAAATGTTGAAAACTAAAAGCTGTCAACACAAACCCTCAAAACTGTCCTTCATTCGCTCCACAGCTTTCAGATAATGTTCTTCATTGAACACGTTCATGTGTGTAAGACGCTGTGGATTTGTGCGTGCGTGCTTAATTCTAGGAAAATGTAATATGATGCCACCTGGTTGAAATTCTCTCAGATAACTTATTCATTACCACAGCTTTTACTAGATACGAAGCTGATGAATTATGAGACTGGTCAAATTTAATTGGATCCATTAAGATGCAAACTCAATAGCCTCCATCTTGCACAGACATGGGTCCATTATTCAGGTGGGCTGCAAGGTGATTCGTCGTTCATGGGAAATGTTGTTTTGCTGTTTATTCAAGAATAGACTCAGACGAGGCTGAGATTCAGGTGGAGCGGTGGAAAGAGTTTAGAGGACTTACTTAAAATAAATTGAAATGAAGCTTATGTTCAACAAGGAAGATCTGCATTTACTCTAGAATTAGAATCAAAAGCCTTTAATTTCATTACATGTGAACCTAACTGGCCATCTGTGAACAA